CAATTTTGGAAAAAATAAAGTCAAGGGTAAATTTGCCATTTTAACTTCAAACATCATTTCAACACATTTTTTAATACAACAACTCAAATAAAATCCATCTCATTTTTCCAAACACAAAAACTAAAATAGCCAAAAAGTCAAATAACCTACTAAAATAGCCACTTCCCAAACGAGGCCATAGTAATTATAAAATTGATAGAACCTAAAATGGATGAAACACCGAATAGATGAAGATTAGGAATCGCTGAATCAAGACTTTGAAATATAAACAAACACATTATCAATGGAATAAATTTTTTTTAAGAGAAATTACAACTCAATGTATTTCTCTTAAAAGAAAATTTTAATCAATGACAAAATGTAGAAACATTAATAATTAAATTTATAAATTATTTTCATTAATTTGTAAATATTTTATAAAAATTCCAATGATATGTAATTTTTAATTTTTTTTAAGAATTGAAAAAAAAAATACTAACAATAATACTATAAATACAAACTTAATTATTTAAAATTATTATCTTACCATTATAATTTATTTTCCACATAAATTCCATACTATATAAATTCAATCACATCAATTTAGGATAGGTAAGGATGAGTGCATAGAATTATTCAAATACTAAACCCCCATAATTAAGGTAGCATCATCATCCAAAAAAAGGCAAAAGAACAAAGTCTCGAATCAAAAACCATGGTCCCATTTTCATAAATCATATCTTCAACTACCAATCTCATCTCATTCCTTATCAACGGTGTCGGCATCTGTGGTGGCCCAGTCTTCTTACGTGGCACCATGTTTCACCGTTAATCAGTACCCATCAGAAAAAAGGATAAATTCAGATAACTGTAGAGGAGTCCCCAACGCTTTGGGCCCCTACGGTTACAATCCATTATCTGTCGGCAGAGTGGCTGTGGGCCCACTTTCCCCTCGAAAAAAGTAGGTTTTATCCCTTTTCGCCACGTGGAGCCAAGACAGCTTTTACTATTTGTAGTAGCTTACTTTCCAGAGTATGTGTTGGGACTGTACTCGCTGAGTATTTAGGATTGAGAGTTCAGATAATGTGGTTATGCATACGTGGCATTGTTTATTAGCGAGTGCTTCGGATTTTTTTGTGTTCTGCGAATATGCTAAGTTATTGGAAATCAAAGTGTTTGGTGAATGAAAGGGCTCATCTCAAGCACAGTGCATGTGATTGAGGAAATGCCCTTATTTTCTTTGAAATGACAAAACTAACCTTGGAATTTTTTTACCACAAGAATTTTTGGGCCACAATTTTTGATAAAATATACTTTCCACATTTGAATTTTTGATGGTTATTGGAATTTTTTGTATTTTGAAATTTGATGGTTATTGAAATGACAAAACTAATTCGATGGTTATTCGAATTTTTTGTATTTTGTTTTGGGATAAAATATACTTTTTCACATTTTAATTTTTAAATATTTTTAAATTTCACTCTAGTCTTTATCTTTTAACTATCTGTCCTACTAATGTCAACTATAAAACTTATTAATCAGAAATATAAAGTATTAAAGTATTTATAATTTTAACACACTCTTCACATATCTAAACACATTTTTTAACATTTTAATACAACATATTTTTAGCATTTTCTTTTAACTACAACAATTAAGTATTCAGATTCAAAAGTGTTTTAAGATAGTTATCTCCTCAATTATTATTAAATATATATAGAAAATGCTCACATTAGGATCACATGAACACATTTTAAAGAGACTAGAGAAAAATGTTTGCATGAAAAATTACGGTAGCGTTTGGTAGAGTTTTGTAAATGTGATTTGAGAGTATGAGTTGTATTTTGAGTTTGTGTGTTGTGGAATTATGATTTGAGTGTAGAAAATTTGTTTGGTAAAGAGTTTTGAAAAATTTTTATTTTAGTTTTAAACGGCTGGCTGTTAGAGAAGGACCAAATTTAAATAGTAGTTGAAGTTAATTGTTCTAATTAAAAGGTTATGTATCAAAGTAAAATTTGAAAGAAAATTTAAGAATGAAAAATATAATTATTTATTTTTCTTTAATAAATTTATTTTCTTTAAAACAATTGAAAGCCAAAATATGAGCATGACAACGGTCATCATTGATAAACCCCGCCTTGTGAGAAATACAAATTGAGATTTTGAATTTAGCAATCTAATGTGACTTGTGAATAGAGTTAAATTATCACTCATCAATGCCATGTTGGACATGGAGGCCCCCTACTCAGTGGTTGAAAGAGTTCTCAATAGACCTTAGTGTTCAAGGCAAATAAATATGGAGGGCCAAGACATCCATTCAATATGTTTACAGACTTCATAGCATGACCAATATATCTAAATTAATGAAAAAGTATTTTATTTAATACATATGTCATGTGACTGAATTATAATGTGACAGACTTTTTTATTTATTATTTATCATGCGATAAAAAGTAAAATTGAAATTTAATGAGATCAAATTCAACATTTTAAGCTAAGTATAACATGATTTTCAAGTCCTATATTTAATAGATAATATATAATGAATAGAAAAATATACGTCTACACCATACCCTCGCATGCATGTTGCTAATATTAAAAGCCATCGGATTCCTAGGGACACTAGCTCTTCCAGCTTGGTACTTTTCAAGGGTGGTCCGATTTTGTTAATACCACAACCACCAAACCGCCACATTACTACCATAGTGGAAGAAAAAAAATAAAAAATAAATAAATTTCAAAACTTCAACTTTCTGTACAAATCAAACAACTTAATTAAATTAAACATTTAAATTTTAATACATACCAAATAATATTTCATATTAAAAAATTTTACACATGTTTTTTGTGCTTAATTTTAATTTTCACTTTTATCAGATAATACTTTATTAACCTGCACGAGTGGCTCAATTACTAGCAGATTAAAAATAGAAGCTCCACTATGAAATAATTCCCAACAATTTCACATTCCCCTCTTATTGAACAACGTAAAATACTTGGGATTTAATAGATATATGTGATTTGGAGATGATTGCACATATGAAAAGTTGGTTAATGAAACAAAATACTAAACAAGATGAGTAAACATTGGTTGACCTTATTTTTGTTTTTGAGGCGAAAGTCTAACATGCTTATAACTTAACAGTACTGATAATGCAAGATGCTCAATGGAAGATGGGTTGGACTAATTCACCTGTGTTCACGAGTCTATTGGTCTTTGTCTTCTTGGTGCATGCCTGCAAAAGGTCCGGTGGGGAGGTACCAAGACTGGAGTGGTCTCTCCTTGTAGATGCTTCAATGATTAAGTCAGACAGGAAGTGATTGGAAGAAAATGAATAGAGAAAGTTGAGAGAGAGGGAGAAGAGGACAGAGAAGAGAGTATTATTTGTTGTCTTTAATGTTCTTCACAAGCTTCCCTGTATCTTTTACAAATAATTTCCCTATCTATTCAAGCTGTCTTATTGGCTGAAAGTTTATGGTCTACTCGCCGTCCTCCATGGCAATTTTACCATGCCAAGAAACGAGAGGTCTTGTTGCATTTAATGTAATGACAGTCTCATTTAACGTTGGATGCCTGAGCTTAATAACTCTGCAGGATTTTTGTTTGTCACGTAACTATCTCCCTATCTAACAGGTGTTTAGATGCCACCGGGCCTAGACCGGCATGGATTCTTTGGTGAGCCTGCTGCTGAGTTTCACCAGCAAGGCTATAACTAAATGATCATTTGGGCCACCCAAGATAGTTGTGGCCTGGGCTGTCCTGGATCATGTGGGTTATGTACATCTCTAATGTGATTGAAAGTTTAACTCTCTCTAAGGGCGAGAGTTGTGTGACTTTAGTAGTGTTTTGAGAAATTGGTAAAAAATTAATTTTTTGACTTTTTTGGCAAGAAATTGGGTTGTTTTGATAAAAAAGTTGACTTTTTTGATTAAAAAAATTAAAAAGTCAAAAAATTGGCTTTTTACCATTATTCCCAAAAGACCCTTAGCAATGGATTCTTATAAATTCAATTTGTATTACTAGTCACTTGTTATAATTGACACTTAGCAGCTCCTCTTTTCGACTTTTATAGAAATAGGATATATATATATATATATTAGTCTTGTTTGGTGCGTCTATTGAGAGACAAATTTTAAAAAAAAAATTTAAAAATTTATTTGGTTGAAATTAAAATAAAAAAATTTAAAATCACTTTTCTGTTTGCTACACATCAATTAATCATTTTTTCTCTCTCATTCTTTCACATTTTATACATCAATCAATTACTTTTTTTTTCTCTCATTCTTTCATATATTATACATCAATCAATTATTTTTTCTCTATACACATCTATTCAATTACAAAAAAAAAAAAAAATTTAAATATAAATAATCTAGAACTCTAAAATTATTTTCAAAACATACAACCAAATAATTTTTCAAATTTTAGCCCTGTTTGAGAAGTTGACTATTTTAGTTGGTTATTTGATATTTTGGCTATTTTAATTTGATTAAAAAAGTTGCGTGTAAAAAATTAGTTGATTTTTATAATTGATTTGATGATTGTGAGAGAAAAATAAAATAATTATGAGTTAAATGTAATATTTTGTTTTATTAATAAATTTAATCTATTTTATCTTTTAACAAATTATTTTAATCCAATCCTCTTTCTAAATAAGACCTTTATAAATTATTTTTAAAAAATTATTTTTTAAAATTATTTTACAAATACAAACAATGGCAAGTATTTCAAATTCTTAATTTATAAAAAAAAAAATCCTTCAAAGCTCACCCTAAAATATGGACAAGCTCAACCTAATTTGTGTCTCGGGGGACAATACAGTCATAATAGCAGTTGACGAGTAGAAGAAGTGGGCATTCTAGTAAAATCCCATCACACACTCTCTCTCTCTCTCTCTCCTCCGTTTCCAACTCCCATCGAATCCGCTTTGCTTCACTGTCACACTTCTCTCTCTCTCTCTGCATTAAAAGAAGAAAGACAAAAATAAAAATAAAATACCAATGTGCAACGACAGCACACTCTTCCAACACGGATTCGCTTGGCAAGCCCATCATCACACATATATAGATATTTTTTCTCTTGCAAACCAAAGACATGGTTGCAACATCTCAAGTCCTTTTTCTATTCTTTTATCTCAACGGTTACTTTCCCCTCTATTAACGGCAAATTTTCAGTGTCTTCTCAGCTCCCCACAACACAACCCATCAAAAACCCAGTTGTAGAGATTTGGGTTTTTGAGAGAGAGAGAGAGCAAACTTGTGTGATTTGGGTTTTAGAGAGAGAAAACCCAGATGGATTTCAGCTCGTTCTTGACGTCTCTAGGGACGTCGTGCGTGATATTTGTGGTTCTGGTGTTGTTGTTTGTTTGGCTGTCGAGAAAACCCGGGAACGCGGTGGTGTACTATCCGAATCGGATCCTGAAGGGGATGGATCCGTTTGAGGGCGGGTCTATAAGCCGGAACCCCTTTGCGTGGATCCGAGAGGCTCTCTCTTCTACAGAGCAAGATATCATCAACATGTCTGGTGTGGACTCTGCTGTGCACTTCGTCTTTTTGACCACTGGTTTGTCTCTCTCTCTCTCTCTCTCTTCACTCTAATTCTCTCTTCTCTCTCTAAATATATGTATATATATGTTGTTCTTGCAAAATGTTATGTGGGTATTGCTTAATTATATGTTACTTTGTTTTTGTAAACTTGATTTTGTGTATTTTTTTTTGTTTCTGCTTAAAATGGACAGATTTTTCAGTATTGTCAAAAAAAAAAAAAAATTCATGGCTTTATCCAAGATTTTTATTTTATTTTTAAGATAGTAGCTTTATCCAAGAATGTTAAATCTCAATTTATTCTATTGTTCTCAAATACGATGAGGTTTGGAGAAATATAACAAATTACATAGAGTTTCTTGGGTTTTAATTTACGGTTTCTTTTGGGTAGAACGTTTTAGTCTCACTTTTTGACTAATTTAGCTAAATTAATTTCGTTTGAAATTTTTTTTGGTTTTTTTTAAAATTTTTTGTGAAAAGAAAAATAAAATAATTATACTTGATATTTTGATTTCTTTTGATAAAGAGATTACCTTTTGACTTTTAATGTAGGCACATTTATTTTTTTGACATATTTAAAAAATAAAAGTTAAAAAAATAAAAAAAAAATATTTTCAATCTACTTTCTAAAAACAATTATTTATTTTATTGATTGATTTATTTAATTTGTTTTTTTTTTTTATATTATTTTTAGTCATAACCCAAACCCAACTCACTCACTTATTGATTTATTTAGGCCATCTCCAACTGGTCTCCAAATCCAACATCAAATTCAAATTTGATGAAAAAAAGCTGCTTTTTGTGCGCCAACGGTTGCACCAAAACAGTATCAAATTGAAAAAACATCAAACGTTTTACCAAATTGAGGACGGGTTGCTCCTTTCATCAATTCACTATGCATAGTCGTTAAAGTAGAAATTTGTGAAAATTTTACACATGGTGGTCGACCCACCCAGTTGACCAACCGGTCGACCAGCTTAGGCAAATGGTTCAAAAATTGACCTGCGAACCGGTTCAAATGGTTCAAATTACTGGTTCAAACGGTTCAAAAAAAATTTGAACCAACGGTTAGGTAGGTTCAAACAGTTCAAAAAGGTTAAAAAAAAAAAAAATTTGTCTTACCGGTCGACCGACCGGTTGACCAACCGGTTGACCCACGGGATGATTCTTCTTTTTGATGCACCGTTGGAGCAACTGATATCAGATTGAGAAAATGAACCATTTTTTACTCAAATTTGGTGAAAAAAATATTGAACCGTTGGAGATGCTCTTAACTGTTTTGTCTTTTTATACTATTTGTAGTCATGACCTAAACCCAACTCACTCACTTGTGACTTGTCAAACGAGATCTTAATCTTTATCATTAATAATTTGTTTGTTCATAAGAAAATATTATTATAATATATCTTTTACACTAAAATATATATTATTGTTTCTTATTTATTTTGAGTTTTCACGCTATTTGTACTTTTTGAACATTTTTCGAAGGGAAATTTGGTCGACTTGACTTATTACACAGTCAATTGACTTATTACACAGTCAATTGCATTATGAGCCGAGGACCAATTTGTCTAAAACTCTAATTATTTTGTATAAATTTTTTATTGATTTCTCAGTAATTAACCTTAATTTAGCAATTTGACTGCAAATTTCTCATAAAAAATCTCATCAACAGAATGCAAATAACAAGGAAAAGGGAAGAATGAACAGGGAAATTATCCCATAATACTATCTTGATAGAGATAAACAACCTAATTGATAAATGAATGAATAAATGTAAAAGCATTTGAAGTCCAGTGCAGAAGATCATGTCTTTTCTATTTCTTTCATTCCTCTTTTATTGGTTTGGTAGAATGAAGAAATTATAATAATTTCACGCAAAATTCATAGTGAGTTTATGGTTAAACAGAGAAATTTCTGTGTTGAATATTTTCTGAGACTCTTTTAGCAAAATCTATGCTAATATATACGGCTAGGACACCTATTTGGTGTAAATCAAGAAGGGAATTTGTATCTTGCTTTATCTAGTTCCAAAATTGCCCTGAGAAAGTGTTTCAGTTTTTTTTATTTGTCTCGTCTTTTTCTCAAAATGCTCTGTTTTTGATTAAATGTATCAGATTTTTTATTTTTAGACCCCTATTAACTGCTTTGGGTTTTGATTGTGAACAATTAAATTTGATTTCCCAAGATTGTCAAGGGAGAGTATTTCCCATCAAATTTGATTACAACTTTTACATAGGATGTTATTATAACATTTGTGTCGTATCTTGGATAGACAAATTTTATGTCTATCTACAGTGCTACTTGTCATGAGAATGAAAAAAGCTTCGATGCTTGTTTATTGGTACAAAAAAAGGCCATTTGGAAGACCATTTTATGCTGTATGTATTATGCGCTTTCTTCTCTATCAACTGGGTGGGCAAAGTATCGGTAACCTAGAGCTTAATAAGTAGTTTTATGTTATGGGATCTAATATGTACTGCACGACCTTGCGGTACAATCTTCTTGTGCCAAAAAGCATGCATTAATAAATTTTCTTTTTCTTCACATCTGTTTCAGTGTTGGGGATATTGGTTTTATCTGGGGTTGTTCTGCTGCCGGTTCTTTTGCCAGTGTCTGCCACTGATAACAGTGTGCAGACAAACCACACCATAAGCAACGGGACTTTCAATGACCTTGACAAGCTAGCCATGGGACATATTAAAGTAAGTTGTATGACTATTTCATGAATAATTTGACACATCTATATTCATTCATTTTAAACCTAAAAAAGACCCATTGAAATGACTTATTGTTTCAAAAATAACACTGCCACATCATTGTTGTGAGGTTTTCTGTATCAATTTTCTTTCATGCAATAGTCCTGCCTTTCTTTTCTTTTAGGTAATAATCAATCGCCTTTCTAGAATAGTAGGTCCACTGATCCAAGTTGTGAATCTTGTTTTACTTATGATTATCAAGTATGAAATCACTGAATTTTTTTTACTGGCCTATTTTTTTTTTTTTTTTGTTTCTTATTTTTCCCTCGTGGGTTACAGGCAGGCAGTTCGAGGTTTTGGGCGTTTCTATTAGCCACCTATTGGGTTTCTTTTGTTGCATATTACCTTTTGTGGAAGGCATACAACCACGTTTCTGATCTGAGAGCTGCTGCTTTAATCTCTCCTGAAGTGAGAGCTGAAAAATTTGCTATTCTTGTCAGGGACATCCCTCCTCCACCCGATGGTCAAACTAGAAAGGAACAGGTTGATTCATATTTTCGAACAATCTATCCGGATACATTTTACAGATCAATGGTGGTCACAGACAACAAAGAGGTATCTAATCAATGTTCCTCACACTTGATTGTTTTGTGCTGTTTTTTCACTGTTTTCCATCTTTTCCTCAAAGTATGATTTTTCTCAAAACTCAATTTTGTTTTGCAAAGGATACAAGATGGAATAATTAGGTTGTTTTTATCTATATCTAAGCTATCTATACATTATACAAACTCACTTGTTATGAATGGTTTGTTACACAATCTGCTTCCCAAAAACCCACAACAATACTATATTTCCACAAATATTTATGTTGCCTAGTAGTAGGGTACTACCAAGGACCAAAAAAGTAAAATCACTAAACCAATAACTACTATCCACTAGACACGACTCACGTTCTCCACTCACCCACGATTTCCTGCACACATTAGTGTGCATACACTTCTAGTCATATAATTTACTGTCTTGTTTTATCATACATTTTTGTGTTTGATGATTGGTGGTCTAATCCATTAAATTAAAAACCAACCTCCTATTGTTTTATTTTTCAAGGTCAACAAAATTTGGGAAGAGTTGGAAGGGTACAAAAAGAAGCTTGCACACGCTGAAGCCATATATGCTGACTCAAAGAAAAATGGCAAACCTGAAGGGATTCGACCGACAAACAAAACCGGTTGTCTTGGTCTCACTGGTAAAAAAGTAGATTCCATAGAGTACTACAACGAGAAAATTAATGAATTGATCCCAAAATTAGAAGCCGAACAAAAGGTCACTCTGAGAGAGAAACAACAAGGATCGGCTTTGGTCTTCTTTAACAGCCGGTTAACTGCAGCTTCGGCAGCTCAGAGTCTACATGCTCAAATGGTTGACAAGTGGACCGTCATGGATGCTCCTGAGCCCCGCCAACTGATATGGACTAACCTTCATAAAAAATTTTACGAAAGGCAAATAAGACAGTATGTTGTTTATGTTTTTGTTGCGTTGACCATAATTTTCTACATGATTCCAATCACGTTCATTTCTGCGCTCACAACACTGGTCAATCTAGAGAAGTTTCTCCCGTTTTTAAAACCCGTTGTTAGTATGGCGACAATTAAGACAGTCTTGGAAGCATACTTACCTCAGCTTGCCCTTATCATATTTTTGGCTATTTTGCCGAACCTTCTTTTGTTTCTATCCAAGGCTGAGGGAATCCCTTCAGTGTCTCACGCAGGAAGGGCTGCCTCGGGGAAATACTTTTATTTCACAGTGTTCAACGTTTTTATTGGAGTTACAATTGGTGGAACCCTGTTTGCGTCCTTGAAGAACATTGGGAATAATGCAAATCTAAAATATGTTGTTACGTTACTAGCAACAAGCCTTCCAGCTAGCGCAACTTTCTTCCTGACCTATGTGGCCCTGAAGTAAGATCACATTTCTTTTTTGTTTCTGTGCCATCTTTTCATCTTCTTTCTTGTCATAATTTGTTCTTTTTACAAATGGCTTTGACAGATTAATTTCGTGCATGTCAAATTACATGTTATAATTGGATTGACATTCATGAGCATTTTTAATATTATGGCTACGTCAGTTGACTTATTAATTTTCTTGGGTCAATTTAATTTTGAAGTTGAGTTGTATGAGTTTTCGAAATTTGGTTTGACTATGAAGTTTGCTTAATTGCTTAAATGTTTGGTCAATTTAATCTCATAATTTTATTAATCTCTCAGGTTTTTTGTTGGCTATGGGCTGGAACTGTCCCGAATAGTTCCTTTAATCATTTACCATCTTAAGAGGAAGTACCTTTGCAAGACTGAAGCTGAGCGGAAAGAAGCTTGGGCTCCTGGAGATCTTGGGCTAGCAACTAGGGTACCTGGTGATATGCTGATTGTCACAATTGTTCTTTGCTATTCTGTCATCGCTCCTATCATCATTCCTTTTGGTGCACTATACTTTGCCCTTGGTTGGCTTGTCCTTCGAAATCAGGCAAGTCCACTAACTATTTCGAACTTATAGAGCTCTATTCAAAATTCAATTGACAAAATGGTTTTTGAATTTGTTCCTATGCTGTTCTAAGTTGACATCGAAATCAAAATGCTAAACAAAAAATGCACTTAAGATGATATTTTTTCCTTTCTTTTTGGTTGAATGCCCATATTTTGTTTCAAAGTTTGCTTCTTTCGAAATCTTCGTTGGGTTAGTTGCTATGATTTGAGATAATAACCTAGTGCATTAGGTTGTGTACACTTGTCCTCCCCATATTTTGTTTTAGCAGGAACCTAGTGCATTAGGTTGCATGTATATCTTATCCCTGCTCAGATCTTGCTTTAGTGGAAGCCCTCGTGCATTGGGGTTGCTATATATATATATATATTTTTATATTGTTAAAATTTGTGAGTTATTATTATTATTATTATTTAAAAGAAAAAAACAGTAAATATGCATTTGAACACTTAGAATGGCTTTTGTTGCAACAAATCTTTCACTTTTTTTTTCTATAAATCTCCCCTCATTTTCATGTATGTTTGCTTATTTTTTGTTATTCTCTCCACCTCTATTATAGGTACTCAAAGTCTATGTTCCTTCGTACGAGAGCTACGGGAGGATGTGGCCGCATATAAACGCGCGCATCGTGGCATCTTTATTGTTATACCAAGTATTAATGGTTGGTTACTTTGGAATAAAGCAGTTCTACTATGCTCCATTCTTGATCCCTCTTCCAATACTCTCCCTGATCTTCGCCTTCGTTTGTCGCAATAAATTCTACCGATTCTTCCAATCCACCGCTCTTGAAATTGCTTGCCGCGAATTGAAGGAAACGCCGAACATGGAAGTAATCTTCAGATCTTTCATTCCACCGAGCTTGAGCGCTGGCAAAGCTGACGAAGAAGAGTTTGAAGACGCGTTATCTCATGGGGTTTCAAGGTCATCATCGTTCGTTTGATGTAGATTATATTTGTTTGTGTTTTTCCCACTAGTTTCATGGTGTTTATTTTAACTTTGAAGCATGTAAATTTGACTGGTACTTAAATTGTTTGTTGGTAATTAGCACGATTAGGAAGTATGTATTTTTTTTTTGTAACATATATATGATGTATGTGTTTCTGAAATGTGAAAATTTTCATTCTGCCTGTATTAGTACTAAGATAGAGTCTGTTAGTTTGCAAAAGTTAAATCACATGAAACGTGTAAACTTGATTTATTTTGGGTGTTGCTCATTGAATTGAATCTACATGTATTTTATTTTCATGATATTTTCAATAGTATTTTATTTTATTTTTATTTTTATTTTTGGAAGTTAGTCAACTTTGATGAACATGGATCGATTCACATAGTGCAGTGCTTGAAGTATCTTTTCGATTCTCTAATATATAATTTGCATTCAATTGTTCTTGTTGTCCAAGGGAAGTGGAACTTTTATTATTCCATTGCTCTTCAACTTTATGAGGAATAATTTCATACCCAAATCATGAAATTTGTATTAAGAATGTATCCGTCCCTAAAATATCCCAGAAAAGTGCATTTTGATTTATGAAAGAATTTAAGGAGGAAAACAAAAAATTCTTCATAAAATAAATTTGTCTTTTAAATTTTGGTTCACTCTATGTTCACAATGGATATTCATACACAACTCTATACTTTATTTATTTTTTGTTTTTTTTTCTTTAGATTGTGTTTGGATTGTTAATTTGGATAGAAATTTATAGAGGGAAGGAAAAAATAGTATCAACTATGATGAGAAAAAAAAAAAAAAAATTACAAAAGTTTTAGACGTAACTTATTTTACACTTTATGATGTAAATATTTTACTTGCTTTTTTAACCAATCAAATAATAGAAAATAAATAAAATGTTGTTAAAAAAGTATTTCACAGAAAAATAAACCGAACTAAATGTGAACTCGCAAAGAATTTCTTTGGTAAAAGTCTACAACTATGCTATTTTTTTCTCTGAAAGTGATTGTCTAAAATCATGCAAATCAAGACCTAGATTATATGTCTAAATTAACTTTTATTTTCAACCTAATTGCAGATTGTACTAAGTTGATTGACACTTCTAATCCAAATAATAAAATGGACTATTTGAATCATCAAAAAAGGCCCGAAGCAAACCACATTCAACTAGATCTTCCAATCCAATTAATGGACAAGAAAGAAATCCCTTCCTTTCAGTTTAAACTAGAGGTGGATAAACCTGGGGTCAGGTTTGTATTATATAGTAATAGAATATGTTGCATTCTAAGCTCAACTTGGCCTAACGTTGGGCTTAATTTAATCATTCCAAGCTCGACCTTAAAAAAATTTCAAATTCCAAACCAACGAACTTAATCTAATAGATATGATCTATTAATTTTAATTTTTAATATTTATCTTGAATGGATTGTGTGAAAACCCACATTTAATTATTTTTAAAAGAAAATAAATAAATAAATTAATTTTATTCAGAATCTACCTAAAATATATAAGAGTGTAAAAGTTAGTTTTAAATTAGGGATTTTTATTGATAAATCCCATTTACAAGTGTTTTAATCCAAGAAGTCCATGAAGGAATTTTTTAACCTATTTAGTCCCATGTATGTATAGTTTTATTCCATAAAGTCCTTTTTCTTGATTTACACTATTTTCTTGGACACTTATGCCCTTATGTTTAATTTTGATACCCTTATAAATATTTTTTGAACGGTTAACAATTTTATGATGTGAACATTTATATTTTAAAATTCACATTGGTAGGAATGTAAAATTGGCCCGTGGGCGGCCTGAAACTCGCCCGCTAGCCAGGGCGGGCCCGACCTGTTGACAATGTGAATATTCACATTGACATGTTAACATTCACATTAATAGGAGTGTAAAATTGGCCCGCGTCCCGTGGTAGCGCGAAACCCGCCGGCGGCCCGGGGCAGGCCCGGTCTGGCTCGTTGACAATGTGAATATTCATATTGACATGTTAACATTCACATTGATAAGAGTATAAAATTGGCCCGCAGCCCATGGGAGGCCAAAAGCCCGCCCGTGGGCCGAGGCGGGCCTGGCCCGGCCCGTTGACAATGTGAATATTCACATTGACATGCCCATTGACAATGTGAATATTCACATTGGTATTGACATGCTAACATTCACATTGAGAGAAGTGTAAAATTAGCCCGCGTCCCCTGACCGCCCAAAACCTGCCCACGGCCCGTGGGCGGTCCAGGGCGGGCCCGGCCCAGCCTGTTAACAATGTGAATATTCACATTGACATGTTAACATTCACATTGGTAAGAGTATAAAATTGGCCAGCGGCCCAGGGCAGGCCCGACTCGACCCGTTGACAATGTGAATATTCACATTGATAAGAGTATAAAATTGGCCCGCAGCCTGTGGGCGGCCCGAAGCCCGACCGCAGCCCGTTCTATGACATTGTGAATATTTACATTGACATGTTAACATTAACATTGATAGGAGTGTAAAATTTGCTCGCTGCCTGAAGCTTGCTCGCTGCCCGGGGTAGGCCCGGCCCGGCCCGTTGACAATGTGAATATTCACATTGACATGTTAACATGCACATTGATAGGAATATAGAATTAGCCCGCGGCCCGTGGGCTGCCCGAAGCCCGCCCACGGCCCGGGACAGGCTCGTTTGGGTCCAGGCCCGAGCATCGGGCCCGAGCCGGTGGGTCGAGCCTCAGGTCGGGCCGATGGGCCTGGGCCTAGCCTCAGGCTTGGGTCAGGCTTGGGCGGGCCTGGCTATTTTTTTTAATTCTTTTTAATTTTTTCTACCAAAATTTTATTATTTTTCACAAAAAAAGACACTAGACCTCGGCGCGGGCCGAGTCTCGGACCGAGCCTTGAATGGGCCTTAACCGGGCCGATGGGCTGGGCCGAGCTTCAAAGTGATGGCCCAGGCCCTAGCCTAGGGTCTCGGACTAGGCTCGAGCCCGGGCCCAAACGAGCCTTTCCCGAGCCGCGAGCGGGCTTCGGGCAGCTTACGTTCTTTTTGACTATTCCATTAAGTCCTATTTGAGGTAAAAAGACTAAAATACTATTTTCATCTACTTATATTCTATTTAGTCCACATTATTTTCTTATATTTCAATAAGTCCTATGGGAGACATAATTATCAAAATACCCATAATGTAAATGTTCATATCATCAATGCGTAGAGGCCCGAGCCGGCCCATATCGAGCCTCGTGGGTGTCCGAAAAAATCTGAGCCGGCCTTGCCCGGCCCACGGGCCAAAAAATTAGGCCTAGGCCCTAGCCTTGGCACAAGGATATTCGGGCTTTAGACAGGCCGATGGATCGAGCCTCAGTTCGGGCCGGTGGGCCTGGGCCTAGCCTCGAGCTTAGGTCGGGCTTGGGCGGGCCTGGCTATTTTTTTTAATTCTTTTTAATTTTTTCTACCAAAATTTTATTATTTTCCACAAAAAAAGACATTGCGCCTCGGGCGAGTTGGACCTCGGACCAAGCCTTGAATGGGCCTTAAGCAGGCTGATGGGCCGGGCCAGGCTTCAAAGTGATGGCCTAGGCCCTAGCCTAGGGTCTTGGACATGCTCGGGCTTGGACCTAAACGAGCCTGCCCCAGGCCGTGGGCAGACTTCGGGCAGCCCACGGGCCGCGGGCCAATTCCTATCAATGTGCATGTTAAATGTCAATGTGAATATTCACATTGTCAACGGGCCGGGCCGGGCCTACCCCGGGCCGCGGGCAAGCTTCGGGCAGCGGGCAAATTTTACACTCGTATCAATGTTAATGTTAACATATCAATGTGAATATTCACATTGTCACGGGTCGGGCTAAGCTCGCCTCGAGCTGCGGTCGAGGCTTCAGGCCGCCCACGGGCTACGGGCTAATTTTACACTCTTATCAATGTGAATGTTAACATGTCAATGTGAATATTCACATTGTCAACGGGCCGGGTAGGGCCCGCCCTGGGCCGCTGGCCAATTTTATACTTTTATCAATATGAATGTTAACATGTCAATGTGAATATTCACATTGTCAACAGGCTGGTCCGGGTTCGCCCCGGGCTGCCCACGGGTCGTGGGCGAGTTTCGGGTAACCACGAGACATGGGCTAATTTTACACTCATATCAATGCGAATGTTAACATGTTAATGTGAATATTCACATTGTTAACGGGCCAGGCCGGGCCCGCCCCGAGCGGGGGGCGGGCTTTTGGTCGCCCATGGGCCGCGGACCAATTTTGTACTTTTATCAATGTGAATGTTAATATGTCAATGTGAATATTCACATTGTCAATGGGTCGGACCGGGCCCGCCCCGGGCCGTGGGCGGGTTTCGCGCTGCCACGGGACGCGGCCAATTTTACACTTCTATTAATGTGAATGTTAGCATGTCAATGTGAATATTCACATTGTCAACGGGCCGGGCCCGTCCCGGTCCGACTCGAATTTTTCCGGACACCCACGAGGATCGACATGGGCCGGGTTCCTACACATTGACGATATGAGCATTCACATTGACGGTGTGAACATTCACATTAGGGATATTTTGGTAATTATGTCACCCATAGGACTTATTGAAATATAAGAAAATAATGTGAACTAAATGGAATATAAGTAAATGAAAATGGTATTTTGGTCTTCTTATCTCAAATAGGACCTAATAGAATAGTCAAAAAGAATATGGGTTGGATGGAATAAAGCTCTTAGAAAGTGGATTTATCAAAAAAGCTCCCTTTAAATTAACTCAATTCAATCACTAACAAAGACATTATTAAGAATAATAATTTTGTGGATATTCAATATTTATTGTTTATAAATTATTTTAATTAGGATTTAACATGATAATTATTCTTACTAAATACCTTAGTTAAAAAAAATTTAGTGTATCAATTTTAAGCAACTCACACGCACAAAAAAAGAAAAAAAAAAAGAAAAGAAGTAGATTTTTGGTGGCAACTTTGCCACATGTTTGTTTGCATGTAAAGATAAGAACTCTCACCTTATCATAATTCTTGGGTTGAGAAGATACCAAGTGACAAGAATGATGAGAAGAAAGAGAGAGAGAAAGAGAGAGACAGAGAGTGAGAAGCCTCAGCATGTTTATATATATGAGCATGCTACTCTTGGAGTAAAGAATGTAAAGGAAACTAAGAAAAGAAAATCTACGAAGGAGTGAGTGAACAAGAGGAGCAGGTTAAGAAGGTTTCATATTTTCCTACTATTTCACTATTTTATTTCAATCATACAACTAAGTAAGAAAACCCTCTTAACCCTCTCATTTTTTTTAATTGTTGAAATTTTCATATTATATTCATATGATAAAATGACTAATTTATGGATAGAAATTTTTATATATGTATGTAAATTTTGTGATGTGTATATCAAATATTTGAAAATATTGATAGTTTTAAAGTCATGGTATTATTGTGAAAATAGGCTTGCATGTGTAGTTTATACAATTAAAGAGAGGATTGAAGAATTTATTTGGTCCTTGAATCTGCCAGAAAATTTGTACAAATTTTTAGACAATTTTATACTAAAAATTTTAAGATTATTTCTTCTACAAAGTTTTTTAGAATGATGTCTACTTCATCCATGAATTTTTGTAACAATTATGGAGTTTTGTACGAATTTATACAGATTTTTAACCAAATCTGGAGCTATAGGCAGATTTTACTACGTGTTTGAAAAATCATTAAAAATTTTATATTAAACCAAATCTGGTAATTTCTAAACAAAAAATGAAATTTTAGAAGTCTAGTTTCGTAATAAATTTTTAGATTATGGAATTGATTTATAAATTTAAGTATGAAATTAATTTAAGAAAATGTGATAAATCTGTGTCATAAATTTTCTTGGAATTTTTTAGAGTTATTTATAATTTATTTTTGAAAAATGCTTTCTAAAAAATGGCCATAACATGTTTATTGAGTATTTTATAGATTTATATGAATTTTAGAATTGTATAAGTAATTTATTTATAATTTTAATTACGAGTTATGCATTCTGAAAATTCTGGCAGATTAAGGAGGGATAAAAAATTATCTCTTCAATTGTTTATTTCGACAAAAATTTAATATTGTGCTAATCTAATCTTGTAGATTAAAAATCCATGCATGTGTGTGATTATGGTTTATTTCTTCTTTTTGGTATCTACATTATTATTTCATACTATGGCTTTAATAAATTGTTTATTTAAATTTTGTACATTTGTTTACTATTGTGTGACATGTGTAATATTTTATGTTGAAAATTTTAATGAGTTGGTATAACATTATTGGTAATTAAATGTTGAATTATTGTGAATATCTCAACAAGTAAAGAAACACGAAATTTAACTAATGATACATTAAAATTTAAAAGTGATGGGGTGAGTTTGGTTTAGAATCTTGCGCAAGTGAGTTGCGAACTCTAACATGGCATATGAAGGTATTTCGGCTCTTATCGGTATAGGCAATATAAGGTTGGTGGTGCGGGTGTCACAACATAGATCGTTCCATTGGAGTAGACCGTGATGTCATGACTCGGGTATGTAACCCTGGTGCGTGGGCATCATTAGTAGTTATAGTAAGTAACACTTGAATATTTGACCAAGGGGGAGTCAGAATTGCTCGCGGCTATTGCTTAGTGGTTGAGTGGAAATAGTGCTCCGCGGGGAGTTACTTAAATTTATCTAATAAACTAAATCTATGAAAATTTAAGAAGAAAGGTGAGTACATTCCTTATGATGAAATACTACTTTCGTTTGTTATATTTTTTTTATTTGATTTATTATTATCTATTGTTATTATTTTAACTGATAACATTCATTTTATGCTTACTAAATGTTACTTGTTATTCTGTTACTACACATTATTCATAAATTGTGAATATTATTATCGGGGTGGGTATTTTCGAGTTGTAGTATCTTATTGTGCTCGTCGCTCACTGGCATTCCCGTCGCCTTGGCGTTTTATGCCAGGAACTGAAGAAACCGAAGGAAACACTGAGGCCTTGTAAGGCGACACCCAGCCTTGGTTAGCTTGAAGAGTGCCCAAGATCCATGAACCATTTTTCTAAGTTTCTAGTGGTTTTTTTTTTTTTTTTTAATGTTATATTCGTGTTGTTTTTATGTACTAAGACTAAATTTTAAATTTTTATTGGAGTTGTAATTTAAGAACTTTTAATTTCTCGGTTGTTAATTAATGCTAGTAATATTGGAGACATCATTGATGAGGGGTTAGTTATTAACAAAATTGATTTTAAGTTCTAAATCTTATTATGATGTCCTCAAATCTTGGGGCATCACAGATTAAATCATCAAAGAAGGCTAGAGGCGAACCACATTCAACTAGATCTTCCAGCCCAATTAATGGACAAGAAAGAAGTTCCTTCATTTCAGTTTAAACTAGGAACGGATAATTATCGGATCAGGCTTGTACTATATAATAAGAGAATATGTTGCATTCTAAACCCTGCTTGGCCTAACATTGGGCCTAATTTAATCATCCCAAGCTCAACCTTAAAAAAATTTCAAATTCCAAACCAGCGAACTTAATCTAATAGATATGAGCTATTAATTTTTTATTTTATTTTAAATATTTATCTTGAATGGATATTAAATTATTTAGATCATTTTATTTGTTATTTCAATTTTGAACATTAACAAAATTCAATGATGAAATAAATATGATTTTTAACAAATTTTTTAATTTAAACCCTAGAAAGAAGGATATATATACTTTTTTTGGTCTTAAATATTTTTTAATTTTTTTTTATAATTAAAATAATATATAAATTTATTAATATTTTATTAATGGGCAGGTAGGGCAGGTTGGGTTCGGTTGGATTATGTTAGAACTCTTTATTTCAAACCCAATCCAAATATCAAATGGGTACAAAATCTCAGTCCAGCTCGTTCTTATGAGCAAAATAAATTTTTCAAAATAAAAAAATATTAGGTTAAGCTGGATGATTCGATGGGCACCCTATTTAAACTAAAGGAGAGAGGCTATTACTTCAACACCAAAATAGATGCATATAGTATGTACTTCATATAAAAACATAATTTTTATTGTACAAAGTATAACTTTTTATTCATCACAAAAAATATAATTTTTATCACAAAAAATAAAACTTATTCATAATTTTAATAAAGGTTTAGTTTGAGAGAGCGTTTGAGTTTAGTAAACTCATTTTGAGACCAATTTTGATAATCCGAACTGTTCACTTTGTAAGACTCGTTAAGTAAGATATTCATATAAAAAATTAAAATGATTGAATATCTGTAACTATATCTTTGAAATTTAATTTTATGAATAACTACCTATTTTTTATAATACAAATGCCAAGTTTGGCTAACCTAAAAAAGTGCACTTATTTTATCTTTTTATCTTTTTTAGGTCACATCAATCAACATCTCCTCCCTACTTTTTCTACACATAATACAAAAAAAGTCAAAAAATACACTTATTTAAACTTTCCCATAATATATACACTCTCCATTGCATTTGTAAATGCAGTGTGAGCTACGTAATTAATTTTAAAAGTTTGGTAAACATTTTTAAAATTACACATGAGAGTAATGTGAACGGTTTACAAGTTCAATTAAATATCTGTAACTATATCTTTGAATCATATTTATTTTTAAAAAATAAATAACAAATTTAATTTTAAGAATAACTATCCATTTTTTATAATACAAATTTAATTTAAACTTTCCTATAATATATACACTCTCCATTGCATTTGTAAATGCAGTGTGAGCTACGTAATTACTTTTAAAAGTTTGGTAAACATTTTTAAAATTACACATGAGAGTAATGTGAACGGTTTACAAGTTCAAAGTCAACGGTTACCAATTCAAATTTTGATTTGTTCTCTTTTAATTTTTTAATTTTTGTGGAAAAAGTATTTCTTCACTCTATTATATCATAGTATTACTTGTGACTAGATCTAGATCTAGACGATAGGAAACAAGTTGATGACAACTTTGAAATTACAATACTGACCCTAATCTCTGGCTTATACTCTGCAAATACCATTCAGTTTATGGTATTTTATTGATGTTTATATGCTACATTTTGTTCTCTTTGCTCCACATTCTTGAAGGATTCATAGTCTCTTTTCACACACGGTTCACTTTTTAAACACTTTTACTTATTTTTAAAAAATAAATTTTACTTAATCTCAATATTAAATAATTTTTTAGAAGTATTCTTTAGTATTTGTCTTATTCTATATACATATATTTTTTTCTATTTGTTTCTTAAGTCCAAATGTTTTCTGAAAGTCAAATATTTAATAAAAAATGGTTTAAAAATCTATTTTTTTTGTTCATAAAACTCATACAAAATGATATGATTGTAATATTTTTACAAATCACAATGATGGGTGTCTTGATTTAAATTAAAAAAATTTCATAAAATGCCATGTCATATAAAATTTTGGGTAAATTACACTAATCTCATTAGAGGTTTAGAAAAAATTATTTGCACTTTACAAGTAAGACATAATTACATTTGTTCTTTTCAAATTTTAATTCACGTAGCACTTAACTTTTTTGGCTATCAATTATTCATTCATTATATAAATTGAAATGCACTTTACAACTAAGACATAATTACATTTGTTATTTCAAAATTTTAATTCACATAACATTTAATTTTTTTTTGTTATCAATAATTCATTCATTCATCATCCATATTTAATTACATAATAAATGAATAATTAATGAACTATCAAAGTGGCATATTGGGAAATTTTCTCAAGAGATGTGGCCAAATCACAACCTGGTTCAACACGGAAGGTTTCTTGACCCACGAGAATTTGACTACCCAAACACGCTATGTTGAAACTTTAAACCAAGTATTTGAAGTCAAAATTCAAATTTCATCTATTTTATTTTATTTTTTTGATGGGACAAATTTCATCTACTTAGTACTCACACTAATATAAACTCATCTGTCTCCTCAATTCTCTCAAACCTTAAAAGTGATCAAACAAAAGTCTCAAGCACCTTCAAGTAGTGACCTGTTTGGGATTTAGACCACCACCATGGAAGCAATTTCCTCCGCCTTCCACCACCGCATCCTGATAGCTCAACGCCCCAGCACCACCACCAACCAACTTTCCAAAATCCATGCCCATCATCAACTAACAATTGACACTCAACCCAATCCCAAGACTTCGAATCGGTCGATCCGCCTAGCTGAATCTCTCTCAAACCTCTTCCACCTCCATATTGAACCACCTACCCAAAAACATGTTCACAACTCCATTTGGAATGTCCATTTTGACCATGAGGAGAGGCACAACACTCCAGCTATGTCTCCGAAGGAAGACATATCCGATAAGTGGCGTGAAAAACAAGGTCTTTCTGACTGGGACAATCTTTTGAACCCACTTCACCCCTGGCTACGACGAGAGATTGTCAAATACGGTGAATTTGCGCAAGCGACTTATGATGCCTTTGACTTTGACTCTTTCTCAGAGTATTGTGGTAGTTGTAGATACAATCGTGATAAAATCTTTGACAAGTTAGGGCTTACCAAGCACGGTTACAAGGTGAGCAAGTACATTTATGCCATGTCACATATGGATGTGCCACGGTGGCTGGAGCGGTCAGTCCTAGGTCAAACATGGAGTAAGGACTCCAATTGGATGGGGTTTGTGGCAGTGAGTGATGATGAAGAGACAAGGCGAATAGGGAGGAGGGATATAGTCGTAGCATGGCGTGGCACGGTGGCACCATCTGAGTGGTACGAGGATCTACAAAGGAAGCTGGAGCCAATAGGGGAAGGGGAAGCTAAAGTGGAATATGGGTTTCTAGGCATTTACACATCTAAGAGTGATACTACTAGGTATAACAAGTCCAGTGCCTCAGAGCAAGTCATGAAAGAAGTGAAAAGACTAGTGAAATTTCACAAGACAAGAGGTGAACGAGTGAGCCTCACAATCACTGGACATAGCTTAGGAGGTGCATTGGCTCTACTCAATGCCTATGAGGCTGCAACCTCTATCCCTAACCTTCCCATTAGTGTCATATCATTTGGAGCACCTAGAGTTGGCAACATAGCCTTCAGGGACGAAATATATCAAATGGGCGTTAAAACACTACGAGTGGTTGTAAAGCAAGACCTAGTCCCTCGCATGCCGGGGATTATTTTCAATGAAAGTTTACAAATGTTTGATGATTTCACTGGTACACTAGATTGGGTATACACACATGTTGGAGCAGAATTGAAGTTAGATGCGCGTTCTTCACCTTATCTTAAGCGTGGTGGGTTCAATGTGCTAGGGTTTCATATGCTAGAGACATACCTTCATCTTGTCGATGGATTCATGAGTACAAGCTCGACGTTTCGCTCAAATGCTAGAAGAGATGTTGCCTTGGTAAACAAGGCATGTGACATGATAGTGGATGAGCTTAGGATTCCTCCATGTTGGTACCAAATGGAAAACAAGGGTTTAGTATGCAATGATCATGGAAGGTGGGTTAAACCTAGAAGGGATCCAGAAGATATACCTTCACCCACCAGAGAAGAAGTGCATGACCATGCAATTGATGAGAGGGAGGAAAGTTACAAAGCACTTGGACCCTTGTTAGGTGTGTAAATTTATAATGAATCTAAGATTTTCTTTTGGATGAGAATCTTATTGAATTTGAAAAAGAAGTTTAATTAATATTTTTATATTTTTAGGATAAAATATATCTGTAAGCCTTTCTTGTGATTTGGGCATCAAAATTTTTAATTGGATAAAATACTCCAATGGTCTTTTTCTTTTTGGATTGTCAAAAGTAAAATATTATTTTATTAATTCAATAAAACAATAGAATGGGACTGTTAAGCCAAAAGTCAAAAAAATCACTCCAATGATCCTTCAAGTATGTTGTTTTTGTCACTTTGATCCTTTTAAATTTTAATATTTTCAATTTTATCCTTAAACTTTCTATTTTGTTCTCTTTGGGTTCTGACTATTTATAATCTTGACTCTTTCAATTTTTATTTTTGTATTCTTGCTTCTTAGGTTTTGTTATATTATAAAAGCACCTTTCTAATTCTTCTAGACTATAATTATTTAGATCAATTTTTTCATTTTTATAGTAGTATTAATTCAAAAGGTTCCGGTTTCAATGTAAAGATAAAGATAATTAGCCTGTGTTTGGCAAGTGGGTTTGCAGGCTTTTTTGGCTATTTTAGCCACAAAAAACAAAATAGGCTATTTTAGCCATAACAAACAAAACATCACATCCAACCCATAATCATTACATTCTTCTCTTACAAAAAAACTCAAAAAAGCCAAAAAGCCAAAAAGCCCTTCACAAATCAAACTTTTAAGCCCAGGCTAAAATAGCTAAAAAAGCCAAAAAGCCAACTCACTTCCCATAAATAAAGCTCCTTCTTTTTGTTGATCAAAATCCAAAAAAAGAAAAAAAAAGAAAAAAAAGAAAGAAAAAGACAAAGATAATTATATGTAGTATTTTCTTGTTTATTTTCTATAAGGCTCATTTTGATTAGGATAAAAATGGTAGAAAGTGAAGGAATGGAATTTTTTGTTTGTTTGTTTAGTAAATGGTGAAAATTATAAGAAAGTTAATTTTCTTGTACAACTTATAACAACATGGTAACTAAGTTTCTATTTTTTTGTAAAAAAACATAGAAAAATACAAGAAAGTTTAAATTTGTTATAAAAGTAGTTATGTATAATTAAAATTCTTATTTTCTTGCAAAATTTTCGTCCTAATTAAATTCATATAAGAATATATATATATTTTTCTTTTTCTTTTTCTTTTCTTTTACTTCACTTTCTACCATTTTCACTTTTCATCATTTATTTCTTTCTAATCAAACAGAGCCTAATAGTTAATTGCTTACCTTTGTCTAGTAATAGATGTTGTACTTCATAAATAATTTCTAGTTGATTTTTTTAAGGTTTTCGTTGAGTTTTTCTAATGACTTGATTATATTATTATTTTGTTCGATTATTATTTGTAAAGCAGTACTATTGTTATTTAAATTATTTGATTCAATTTCTTCAATATATCTGATTCTTATATATTTATATCGGCAAGACTGAGAAACCAAATTTTGATATCAATTCTAAACACATTCACACAATGCTTTAATAATAAAAAGGGATTTTGTAATTATGACTATAAGAAAATAGCTCCTTATAGTAATTAATAGAACCTTTGAGTTTATATTTTATTTTTATATTATCTTCAAGACTAAATTGATTTGAATTTAATATTTTAAGAACTTAATTGATAAAATCGAAACTTTAAAGACTTAAATGAAAAGGGTGTTAAACTTTAGAGACTATGTAGATTATCCTTTTTAATTTTGTCAACTTAAAATTTTGATTTTAGTCAAATTGACTGAATTTGAAAATGTCGTGTAAATTACAAATAAAATATAATTCTAATTACTATGAAATTTTTTATTTTTATGAGCAAAATTTTTTATTGATGAAATTCAATGATTGTTTTACAAAGATGAATATGAATAAAGGAAGGAGAGAGCAAAAGCATCAAAGCATTGCAAATCTACCCCAACTAAGTTGACACAGAAAAATAAGTCCAATCATATGCTACCACTATACTAAGTTGGTGATAAACCGGCCCAAATAAAATAAAATAAACAAAATAAATACAAAGATAACACCCCAAAGAGCAGAGCAAAAACAGAATCAGCAGCTCTTGACCTGTATCGGCCAGAGCAATAGCATCAGAAACAACCAAAGCCTTCCAAAGAGTGGGTGTTGCTGCTACCCCAGTTTTTTTTTATGAATTTTCTGTTTATAAATTATTTATATATTCGGTAAATTCTGTTCTGGTTCTAATGTGCAAGAATCTATAGCAAAATGCACCGAAATGCAACTATATCCAGTAAAAAAAATTAAGGACCAAAACCAATAACCAAGTCTATGGATTCACAAAGTCAAGATTAATGGTTAATCTAACTTATATTTCAAAACTAAATTAACTATTGAAAAAATCTAGAAACCTCCTAGATGTTGATTTGTGATTATGTATCAATTTTAAACAGAATATAACAGTTCCAATCAAACAATCAAGACACAGAGACACAACGATTTTACGTGAAAAAATCACAATTGGACACCTCCAACTGTGATTAAAAAACCACGGGCAACAGCCACAAAAACAATTCACTAAGACGATTTAAAGGAATTACACAGGTATACTCTCAATTACCTAGCGAATCCACGCCTAATTAAATCAACCTCTATGTGCCTCTTCCAACCCCGTCTTCACCTCGGAATTGCCTTTTCAATGAGCCACTCCAGAATCCACTGAAGCTTCAGGCTTGAATTCTTCAGAATCCACCGAAGAACAACTCTCTCTTTTGTATAACAAACAAAACCTTTGATGTACTCTCTTTTAAATCATAAGTTGAATACTCAATAAAAACATCAAAGAAAACCTGACAAAATATCTCCAGATATAAACCTTAAGATCCAAAAAGAAGATCTGGAGAAGTACCCTTAGCTTTGGAAGAAAACCAAGCATTTATAGAAAACCAAAAGTAATCCTAGATTTGGAAGAAAACCAATTCCTTAAGAAATCTGGATTTTGAAGCTCGCTCGAGCGAGGAGCTTAACTTTCGTGATTTCTACTAGTGCCTTGGCTCGAGCGAGCAATCAACTCTTTCAGGTTTTTGTGTGGACGTAATCTGTCGCTCGATCGAGAACTCCTTGGCTCGAGCGAGCAAGCCTTAGCTCGAGCGAGCATTCCTTGGCTCGAGCGAACAAAGGCGGACATGCAATTTTGAATGTAATTTTGCATTTTGCTTCGGCCGCAAGCTGACCGGGCAGCTCGACCCCCATAATAATCAGCGAAGTGGCAATCTTGAAAGTATAGACATCACAAATTTCTCTGCAAAACACAATTCGGGTTGGATTCGTCTCTAACAACTCATAACCTCACTGAAATAAAAATGCAAATAAAATTACAACTCAAAGGAGTTTTGTCAAACGAGATTGCCAAGAATAAAACCTAACAACTATGATTATGATATCAGGAAAGCAAGCCCAAAAATTTGATTAAAGATTTAGGACTATATATAAATAACAGTGAAGTTAAATCAACATCCAAGGATGCACTTATCAATTTTGAAAATCACAAACATAATAATGTGGAAGAAATTCTTTTTTCTTAAGTTTATTTACAATTTTCAACATACCGAAGTCTGATCTTCTTGATTGATACTAGGACGTCCTTCATGATCATCTTCTCCTCAGGTGAGTCAGCAGAGCAATTCAAAGCTAATTGCATAAGAGATGACACAGTTTGTGTTCAGTGTCTTGCCTAAGCAAGTTGGCATCTAGAACTTGAACTATTGCATTAGGCAATTCATCAACCACCCAACACTTCAAACTCAAACCTTTATCAAATCTTGCATCAGTGGGCTTTATTCTTATAAATGTTTCCATCAACATGATGCCATAACTGTAAACATCACATTTTGTCGAGACTAATCCTTCTAGTCTATACTCTACATTACATTCATGAAAAGTGACATGGTGAGAAAAGTAAAATAATTTGTCATAAACTTAAATTGAAACTTAACCCTCCACTTGTGTCGGCTGAAAACATTTTAAGCATTTTTGGTGTTTGGTATGACAGAACACAAAAGGCAATACAAACGTTTTCCAAGTCAACAAAAAACAAGGTTATTTGAGCAAAAAACGTTTTGCAAACTAAAATCTTATCAATGGCATCACACTTCCACTACCACACTGTTGGAGCAATCTTCTGTGTAAATAAAATAAATTGAAACAACTTCAAACAAAATAAATAAAAACTTACATAATTTATTTTGTCGAACCAAATAAAATTACAAGACCAAGTCGAGTATGAGACACTTTGTTCTTAAGACAGATTCGCCCCGCTACGGTACTTACGGTTGAATGGCGTCTATCTCCCAGGATACAATGATCTTCACAAACTGTAGTAGTACTCCAAACAATTTGTTCGGCGAACAAAACCTGTGTTCTAACTGAATTTTATTCTAATACTAAAATGAAGAATAATGCACCAATGCACCAAAGATTACAAACTGGACAGCAAGAAATATTTCAGATTGATTTTCCCGGGGGTCTAACACATTGCTAGTAAGTTGGTATTTATAGGCAACAAGATCACCTGAACAGATGCAATACCGAAGTCAAACAGGTGCAAAACTATTCATTATTTGAATATATGAATTAACCGTTGGTCAAAACAAAATTTCAAACAAATTGAATAGTGACCATTGGTCAACCAAAAGAAACAGTTAGGAAATCAAATCTATTGCACTTTATTAAATAAACTATTTTGAATACACAAATTGAATAGTTTAATAAATAAAGTAAGAGGTACAAATTTTAGGAAACTACTTAGGAACCCAAAATTTGAATTTAGAATTAAATTAAATTTCTACAATTACAAACTTTAGGAAACCACTTCGGAACCCAAAATTTGAATTTAGAATTAAATTAAATTCCCACAATAATTTTTATTGAAAAAATTCAAAAGAATTTTTATCTAAAAAATTAATGTTAAACCCAAAAACGACGTCAACTTCCCATTCACTCATAAATGGTTTTGACGTTCCGTCTTCACCGTGTGACTTGCCACGCGGCAAGGAACACGTCACCTCTTTGGACCCACCCGAAAAGATGTTTGGGGCTCACTCTATTTTGGGCTCAAAGTCGGCCCAAAATATGCCTTATAAAAACCAATTTTCCAACAATCCCCCACATGAATGGAATTTGACGGAGAGAAAATGCAACAACATGATCTAATCAGAGAGTACAGAAATTGGAAATGGAAATATTCTGCAAAAGATAGGTAGCTTTTGACTTTGAACTTTCCCTTGTGAGACACTATCGGATTTACTAGCTAACTAGTGAACATGATGTCTTGAACTGTTCAGCCGTTTGTGTAAACCAAGACAATAGAACTCACACAGTATATCCCCAGATACAGTCTAGTTCTCACTATTGTGTTCATTTT